ACTTTGTATTTCTTCGGGCTTTAATTTCTTCTTCATCCCCCTTTTCGAACTTTTGTGGTCGGTGTTGCCTTCTTCCTCTCTTCCTTAGCTTCTCATACTCGGTTGAGGGTAATTTTTCTCCTCTCTTCTCGATGAATCGCTGCACAACAATACTTTCCCTCCACGGTTGAATTTCCATCGCACTCCAGTCCACATTCTCGGGTCTGATCGCCGTCTTCCAACAATCCTTCGTCCCTACTTCTGAATGCTCTTCGCCGTTGCTTCTTCCTTCCTTGATCTCTCTTTCTCCTCTCTAACAGTAAATCCCTTTTGCATTTCTTTCGTTATTCGAACCATTCCATTTGAACGTTCCGTCATTTCTCTCAACAATTCCTGCAACTCCATTCCTATCAATAATCTCTGTATCCTCGTAACTGCCTCGAATGAAAGATTCATGGCCAGGACGAACTTGCTCTGATACCAATTTGTTAGGTATCAGAATACAAGAACCGATAGCCTTTCGAGAGGGCTATCTCTCTCCCAAGAACTCTCCCAAGTTCCTTACACAAAATACAATTCTCCAAGATATCCTTCCCCTCTCCCTACTACCCTTATTTATAACAACTCACCCTAACTAATTACCATACTAATTACCGTACTACCCCTTCATACTAACAAACTAATATTTCCCTATACTCCTAATAGGACTCTCACAGTCAACTCCCTAAACTAGAGTTTGCTTACAATACATTACACCCATTATGTCTACTTTCAAGTGGAATACTATATGTATGACCTGCTTTTTAAAGTGCTTATAAAGGACTAAAAGTTTTTTTTTTAAATTAGTGGTAGTTTGTTTGGTTAAACTTTTCGATAATCAAAAGTAGTTGAGAAATTCTAAAAATAGATTAAAAGAACACTTAAAATGATTTTCGATGAAGCATTTAATTTGTTACMTTCCAAAAGTGTTTAAAAAATATTTAGACCTAAAAAAACACTTCTTCCAAAATTAATCAACTGAAATACAGAACAATGTCATACCTTGCGCCCAAACCGACCAGATCTTCCTATCCTGTGAATGTAAAGTTCTCGATTGTTTGGAAGGTCGTAGTTTATCACTAGTGATACCTGACAAAAGTTAATGCAAATAAACATAAGAATTGTACTAATAGATTTCTCAAGATACTTGGCATAATCAGATAGTGGATGGAAAACAAACACGTAAATATTTATGATGCCTGTTAACATTTACAGGGGGGTACACCAATTGATAGTGTAAACTGCCAAAACATTATCATATGTGCTTACCAAAATCAACACCCACTCTCTTCTCTATGTCATCATACAGAGTTATTTTCTAATATACCTTCTATTAGAGAATACTTCAAATAAAACCATTATGATTCTCCATGATGTTCATTTTTACACAACCCTATAACTGAGGCATATGATCCACAAAATACTCCAGAATAAACTGAATCTATCCGTATGTCCATGACTTCATTACTAGAAGTCGATTGAACTGTGTGCATATGATCCACAGAATATCCAAAAATGATTCGGGAAGATATAACCTCCAAATCCACTTATAATAATTTTACTAACATTATAGAAAGGACTCAACAATTAAAGGAGTTATAAAAATAGAAACATAGAGTACTCGATCCACATTACCGTTTATATAACTGCATTGATTACCAGGTTGAATTTAAATGAGACAACTACAACCAGAGTTACTTGAATTTGGGTGCATGGACAGAAAAATAGATTAGTAAAAGAACCAACAACTTGCCTGCTGAACATCAAGCCCTCGTGCCCAAACATCAGTGGTGATTAGGACACGAGTAGTTCCTGATCGGAACTCCCCCATGATTGCATCTCTTTCCCTCTGAGGCATGTCCCCATGCATATGTGAAACTGTGAAGTTATTACTACGCATCTTCTCAGTTAACCATTCAACCTGGAGGCAGAAGATAAATAAAATATTCAAACAAATGAAGCGAACTATTCCCGTACTAATACTATATTTTAGCATGGGTAAATGAAACATTTTGCATTGATAACTGAAGTTCAAGAATCAGTGCGATGAGATCTAGACCTCGTATAGGCCTCCAATTACTAAAAGTACATACTACAAAGAGGGTAAGGGATAGGCCTGATTAATAGTTATGATGGTAGGATACATTGTAACTAATAGTTAGCTTGAGTATGATTTCAGAAAATATTTAGAATGAGGTCTCTAGAGAGAGGATACATTTTTGGTTGTAATGAGCGGGAGTTATGAGAGTAGGGGATCCCTCAAATTATAATTATGCAGTTATGCAGTGTATCTCTCTCTCTAGTTAATAAAAGTCAAGTTATATAAACCTCATAAACTTTTCTCATCATTCTGTCACCAGACACATTTGTATTAGATTAGTAAAAAAGGAAAAGGACCAAAGGTTAAGCAATAATAAGATATTATTCTAGACGAGTGGAATATATCAGAATCATGCATAAAAGCAAACATGTATAAGAGGGCCAAAATTATAAAATTAGCTGTTTCGGAATGAGCCTAATAAGATTTTGAGGACTCAASGAGATCTAAAAAACAAATTTTAAATCACATTACCTTCCGCTTAGTGTTACAGAAAATTACAGCTTGAGTGATAGTCAAGGTGTCATAAAGATCACATAAGGTATCAAACTTCCACTCTTCCCTTTCAACTGCAACGAAGAATTGCTTAATACCCTGGCAATTTAACAGCATACATCAGGGTACTGATATATATCCGAAAGGCATTTAGTCTCCACAAATAAAAAAAATTACAAACCTCCAAAGTTAACTCATCACGCTTGACAAGGATTCTCACAGGATCCGTCATGAACTTGTTTGTCATCTCCAGGATTTCATGAGGAAGGGTAGCAGAAATCAAGACAACCTGCAATTAAAATTGGGATAAAACTCATAAAATTAACCAGGAGATCTTGTTCTGGATCCTTCCTAACAACAGAAAACTATATAAAACCAAGCAAAAACGAACTGGTTGACAATAACCAAAAAGGTAAATCAGTATATGAAACTAAATAGACTGTATTAAATTAATAGAACTCATACAAGCACATATAATGGCAATTGAAAAAATCTAAAACGTGAAAGAAACAAAATATGAGCAAATATCTAAACTAAAATCAAGATAAACAGAACTCCATATCCACCTCATCAAAGATTTGTAAATAACCATGAAAAGACATTCTGTAAAATACTTTGGTAAAACAGTCCTATTATTTCTCAGTAGTCTTATATGTCTTAACCGTTTCCTTTACAAAACAATAAATCAACTATATGCATTATTGCATAAAGAATGTTATTGTACATACAAATTGGTCAGCATGTGCATGAAAACATGTATATTAAATCTTATTTTTCATACTAAACAGGTTAAAGTCATGCTTGGCAACCAATTCAAGGACACAACTGCATTCAATTTACTTTTCCTCTTCTGCTTCTCACGGGCACAATTACTTAGACACACAGAGAGAGAGAGAACCTGAAGTTCTGGTGGGAGATATCTATACACATCATAAATCTGGTCTTTAAACCCTCTGCTCAACATCTCGTCAGACTCATCCTGAAAAAGTAAATATTAGAAAATGAAATTAGAAAGTATGAAAATTTCCAAAAGAAACTGTACAACATTAATTATTATGGTAACAAAGAGTCGATCTGAAGGGCAGCCAAACTTACCAGAACTAACAACTTAATGGCTCTGGTACGCAATGTCCTTCTCTTGATCATGTCACAGACTCTTCCAGGAGTTCCTGATACAATCTGAACTCCAAACTCGAGCTTCCTGATATCTTCACCTACACTTTTGCCGCCAATGCAAGCGTGTGCTTGTATATTAATGTAGTCGCCAATGGCCAATATTACTTTCTCTGTCTGAGTTGCCAATTCTCTCGTAGGGGACAAGATCAAGGCCTGTACTCTGTTTGGAATTAAGATGCATGATGACCATAAGAAAATGAAGTTTTAAAGATCATAAAACAATAAGATCAGATGTAAATTGAAAAATCTCCTGCGCCATGAGCTGAATGTATGTTCCAAACTTTGAGGACAAGAAGCGAATGTGTCGTTATTTTGTTGAGACTTTATTAATTGAAAATTTCGATTCAGAATTTCCAAAACCACAACAAGAGGTTATAACAAGTTCTTGTGAAAGGAATAAACTAACATCCAAATAATTTTAGCCTTTGAAATTGGCTTCCTGAGCTAATTAACTAAACAACATACATGAACTAGACAAAGAGAGAAAATGGAAGATTCAACATCTGATACTCACTCTCTACTCGATGTATCAACCATTTGGCAAACGGTAAGGGCAATCATGGACGTCTTGCCTGTTCCAGACTGGGCCTGAGCAATGACATCTCGCCCCTCGATAATCGGTCTCACGGCTCTCTGCTGAATGGCCGAGGGCTTCTCGAACCCGTATGCATATATTCCACGGAGAAGATCGTCCTTAATGCCCATCTGATCGAAACTCGAGATCGGCTCAACCCCCTCCGTCGTCTCGAATTCCAACTTATCTTCCGGCGCATTAATTGATCGCCGTCGATTAGGCGGCACAACGCTTGTCGTAGCTGCGGCCGCCATGTCGGTGGGCGTATCTTCCTAGATCGTGATTAAGGGTTCTACTTACCGGAGAGATTTCCCGATAATTTCCGGCGAGTTACCGACGGCGAGGGGAAGAGATGGAGCAGAAGCCGCAGATTAGGGCCGATGACGATTCGAAAGCGAAGGGAGAAAGAAAAGGGAAAAAGATATTTGTTTATGTACGGKATGAAATCCTATCCAATTTTCCACCGCGAGAATCGAATCGTGACCGTCGATATATAAACCCTAGAATCTACGGCTCAGACGTGCCGTAGGTTTCAAACCTTTGGAGGAACGTGGGCTCTCGTGTTTGTAGGATTTAGGTTAAATTATCATTTTAACGTATGTACTTTCTTTTTGAGACATTTTAATGTATGTACTTTGAACATTGTGTTTATTTGTAAATTACAATTTAATTTTGAATTTTAATATAATATATATTGATTTTAATGTTTGTGTATATTTAATCTTTGTAAAATTAATTACGTAATTCTACGTAATCTTAATACTTAAGTTTGAAATACGGGTTCAGTATCATAAATTTGGATTTTGGTAGTTCAGAATTTAATTGGAAAATTTAGATAACCTAAATTTATAAAAATCGGAGTGTATGTATAAACAGTTTAGATTTGTGAAATATTTAATTATATTAAATAAATTATTGTATTTTATATTTATTTGAATGTGTAATCTTAATCATTTTATTATTTAATATRGTTGATTTATTATCGTTTAAGATAAGTATTAAGGTATCTAGCCTCTTTTTTGGGAGTCCGAAGTTTAATCCACATTTGTTGTACTGACAAAGTATAATTAAATTAAATTTAAAATTATTTTTTATACTATTGTGTTGTTAATTAAGTTTAATTAACTTGAAAATGAAATACATTTGTTAGGTTATTTTAACACGATTGAGTTACAAATAAAATATTTATCTTAATATTATTAAATTTAAAATTTTATTTTTGTTACTTTGAATAGATTTTAAAATAAAATATATATTTTTTTACTTTAACGTGCTAATTTAAAATTAAATACTAATTTCTATTCTAATATAGGTAAGTCCAAGATATATTAATCTTCTTATTTTAAAATTATTAATTAAAAATCACATATTCTTTATCAAATTACACTTTCATCAAAATTTGAATTTAATTTCTATTTAGTTATTGAATTTTTAAAATTTTTATTTTGATATAAGTAAGTTTCACTAATCTTCTTATTTTAAAATTATTTATTAAAATATAGTGTTTTTTAATTCAAAAGAATTATTATGTAGTAACATAATTTATATTAAAATTTTAATTTGAACAATAATGTCACATCTAAAATAATGCATATGATTTATTTTTAAAAATATATAAGAATAAGTTTAAAATGTTTGGTTTTCTCTCTCTTTTATTTTATTATTAGTACTATTACGAATTTTTAATTGGTCAAATTTTGATTTTTATAAAAAAAAGAGAGAAATTACACTTTTGATCCCGAGGTTTGGAGCATGTGTCTATTTGGTACTTAAAGTTTTAAAATAAACATTTTTTGTCACTAAGGTTTGGAGTAGGCGTCTATATGATTCCTCAAGTTTCAAAGTAGACATTATTTGTCCTCGAGGTCTGATAAATGATTTTTTGACCATTAGTTTACTGTTAGTTGACCGTTTGTGGTTTTCTCTCATTCTCTTCATTCTCTTTCTCTTTCTCTCCCATCTCCAGCTATCTGCCACCGTCGACCAACTGCCTGCCGTCACTGTACTTTCCGCCTTGTCGGACCTTAGAACCGTCGTTGCACCGTCGTCGTCATCATGCCATCGATGTACTATCTCCTTTGCAGTCACCAACGAGAGGAGGAGGTCTCTCTCTCTCCCTCCTTCTAGATCTGGAATGAAGGAGAGAGGGAGACCTCCCTCTGTCGTAGTTGCCGGCAGGAGGAAGAGGTCTCCCTCTCTACCTCGTTTTAGATCTGAAATAAGGAGAGAGGGACCCCCCCAGTAGTCGCCAGCGAGAAGAAAAGGGAATTCTAGATCTCGAATGAAGGAGAGAGAGAGACCTCTCTTTCTCTTTGTGGTCGCCGACAAGAAGAGTAGATATCCCTCTCTTCCTCATTCCAGATATGGAATGAAGGAGAGAGGGAGACCTCATTTCCTCTTTGCGGTCATCAGCGAGAAGAGGTCTCCCTCCCTTTCCTCTCATTGGTGCGAATGGCACGGAACAACAACAAATGGAGAAAGCGCAATGACAATTGTAGGTGGTGGGTCGGCGGTGGCTACAATAACATTGGTCGAAAATAGGAGAGAGAGAAGGATAGAGAAAGAGAGGAGGAAGAGAGAGAAAAACACAAATGGTCAACTCAGTCAAATAACCATCTAAAACTATTTCTCAAATCTAAAGAACAAAATATGTTCATTTTGAAACTTGAAATACCAAATAGATAGACTCAGGGACCAAAAATATTCATTTTGAGACTTAAAGGACCAAATAGACACTTGATTCAAGCCTTAGGGACCAAAATTGTATTTTTCTAAAAAATTTATGTTTTAAATATTAATTATCTTGAAGATTTTGGATTTTTTTTAAATAATTACTTTTTAAAAACAAATGACAAAGGTAGGGTAGGATCAAAACTTATTCCAAAAATAGGGTAGGTAAATCGCAGCCGTCGTCTGCGATTTAGGACGAAATCGTGGTCATAGGCCGCGATTTCACTGAAGTCGCGGCCAACGGCTACGACTTCAGTTTGACGTGGCTCCACGTGTAGCCACGTCTCAGAAGGAAGTCGCAACCTTTTGTAACTGGCTGCGACTTGCTAGGGTTTCAGTGGGGACAAACTCG